TGCATAGAGCCCTACGTTTCTAAATTTGTGATGGAATTCTGAGCATTATGATCAGTGTTTCCCTGGGATTGCAGCTGCTTCCTTCTGCACTTCAGGCACAGCTTTGATGCACGGCGTATTACCTGCATCTCCTGAACTTAAAGGAAAGAGATGGGGATGCTGAGGCCACCAGATAAGATTTGCTGGCTTGGATCACGTGGTTTGGATCACATCACTCTTTAGCTGCACACTAAGGCCATCTGCATCCTGCATCTTCTTTTGTGAGCGGTTAGATACAAAAGTTACTGGGAAATTACTCTGCTAATGAATGGAGGACAGGCAGCACAAGGTGATGGGGCATGATGGAATGCCCAGGATTCCATGTTTCTGTGACTGGGTGGAAATATGTCCTTCTAAATTTGTCTGCTAACTTTGTTGAGGAGGAGAAGTGAGAATTTATGTTTTAATTAATATGAAATCGCTATTAATTAACATTATACTTAAATTTGCCAATCATCACACCTGACTTGAATTTGCAGACAACAGTTGCATATAAAATACCACTAAGGACACCGGGGGCTGTGACACACTGCAAAGGTTTGGAGCAGCTCTGCCAGGCTGAGCCCCCCCAGTGCCCATCCCCATGAGGTTTGGCTGGCTGGCTGTGAGCACACAACCCAGGCACAGGCAGCTCTGTATATTTGCAGGCGTTTCATGGAAAAGAATAAAAATGACGGGGTTTAATTTGAGTTAGTGAAAGTGCTGCTTGTTTTTCTCCTTTGCAAAGCACCCGCATTGTATTAGTGAGACTGTAAAGGCAATCATGTCTTCTGATGAAAGCATAAGGCTAAAATGATGCCTCCTAATGAAGATTGTTTTGATTTATTCCCTGTATGCGGCACAATTTTGCTTCCATAGCTTTTGGAAGCAAACTTTAATTTTGTGTCTCTGGCTGTTGCTGCTGTGCTGTGCCGAACCCACGAGCTATTTAACACGCAGCACAGAGGAGTGCATTAATGCAGGTCCACAAAGCGAGCGCTTCGATTTGCTAATTGCTCACAGAGCGGAGGGTATTGTTGTGCAGAGTGCGACTGCTCATTACAGATTGAGCAGCTCATTTTTCTGACCAGCGAGGCTCACCTTGAGCTGCTCACCCATCACGCAGGACGCACAGCTCGGTCCAGAGCGAAGCAGGAGGCCAGCAGCTGCACTGTCATGGGCAGATTGCTTGGATTTCCTTCCCAAACCCTCCCCTCCTGCTCGGGCTCCTCCTGCATTGCTGGAGCTGGGAAAGCAGGGCCTGACCCCATGCCTCCCTCCTGCACACCTGCTGTTGTGCTGCCTTCCCGTTTGCATTTGAGCTATGAAATACGATGGAAATAATTACAGTGGGAAGGTATAGGAGATTAATTATTGATGAAGGGAAGCAAGCTAAGCAATTCAGAAATGTCTCCTTGGGAGCCAGATCAGTTCCTCGCCTTGGAAACTGCTCCTGCCCCTTGCAGCCCAGCACTGTATCACAGCAGGTGGGAGCACAGGTTATCTGTCCTTCCCCACTGCTCTCCTATGAGGATGACAGGAGTGCTGACAGTAGATTAGACGGCGTTGTCATGTAAGATGAATGTTTGGAGTTGACAAACGCTTTTTTCCGTGGGCTTAAAGTAATTGACTGAATACTTGAGAGGATTTTTTTTCCTGCTTTTGCTACTTATTTGGTTTTCTTTACCTGTTTATGCCGCCTTCAGTGGGCAAATTGGGCTTTACATGTATTTGTATATTTGATTCTTAAACTCAGCATCTGTTTGCTTATCAGATTTCTTAATGCTTGAGCTCAGCGATCTGTGGGAATTTAACATGGGTATTAAGTAATAAAAATTTCCTCAGAGCTTTAAGATAACTTCAGTGCATATTGTGAAAATGCATCACAAGTCTTTCCTACTGAGAGATTCCCAAGGCACCGAGGTGGATATGTTCAAGCTAAAAGCTCTGAGATGGGGCTGGCAAAGTGCTCCAGCACTGCTGTGGGTACCAGCCCCATACCTGCTGGGGAGGGGATGCTCCTGGAGTGGGGGGTTCTCCGTGCCTCCTCCCTTTCCACCCGCTTGCAGCTCCCCACTCACACCTACCCTGGCTACAAGGGAAACAAGAAATCCAACACTTCCTTCCTGAAAATATAAATGATCAGATGCAGTGTAGCAATATTTCTTTCAGGCCCTTCCAAGGCTGCCCAGCAAACATCCGAAGTGACGACGCTGTGTGCCGTGCCAGAGCCCTCTGCAGCTCCTGCCTCCCAGTGCTGCACTGCTGGCAGCTCCACCAAAGCACTCTGATTAAGTGAGATGTGGGGAGAAGTTCAGAGCCTAATTTCTTCTTCATAATTAAAAATGTGTGCATCTGTCATGCTGCTGGTGATTAGGTTGTATTTTCTTGTGGCCTAGTAGGAATATGGCAGTGAATCACTTTGCAAGCAGCTGTCCTCTAACAGCTGAGCTAGGTTCAATATTTGATTTAAGCTAATAAAAAGTCTGGGGTAGGGCTAATGTTTACAAACTGGATGTGATAAAGCATTCAGATCATCTGTTGCACAGCCAGAGGGGAGCAGCACAGGGGCCCCAGTGAGGTGGGGCTGCGCCCTGTGCTCCCAGGAGCAGTTCTGCTGGAAGGACCTCCTCTTTCCCAGCCCTCCATCACGTTGTAATGGCTCACAATCCATAAAATATGTCCCTTTTGCTCTTCTGTGAGAGCTGTAACCAAACCGTACAGTTAAGAATCTTTTAATCTTCATAAATAATTTCTTCTGGCAATCTAGTGAGCTGGCTTGCTGTTCTCTGGATTCCCACTAGTTCGGCTGCTTGCTGCCTTTGAGATGAGCTGCCTAGAAATGAACGCAATGAAGAAAACCTACTCTGATTTAATTCCTATCCGATCGCTCCTCCAAATTGTATTGATCTGCTGTTATAAAGCTGCAGCTTTGAACTTGCTGTCCAGGTTTGCCTGTAGGTCTCTACTGGCATAACAATGTGACAGGCTTGTATTTGGTTATTTTCTCCAAGACGTATACCAAATAAATTATGGAATATTTCCTTCTTGCACTCTTATCTTTTGTATCATTTCTTTCCTGTCCAAAAGTTTTTGCAGCCTTCTCCCAAAGGGACAACTGACTGACCTGCCCTCTTCCACTCTGAATCACCCCACAGTATTACAGACCCCTGTGCTGCCCAGCAGGAGATGGAATGGAGAAATGACCCTCAAACTGAGGGTTATATGAGTGATAAGTACAGGAAGCACATATGTAATTCTTTGTGTTTCTTTGCATTTCATTTAGAGTTGTTTTTTCCATTTAGAGGTCACGTACAACTTCACTTAGATAAAGCTAATGAAAATACAGAAAAGTTCCTTTTTTTCTAAATCAAAAATTCTCTGTCAGTCCCGGGGTGTTGGACAAAGTCTATGCTAACTTCTCTCATAAATAACATCTCTGGGAGGAGGTTTTCTAATTCTTTGCCATGTGATTCTCTCCTGGCTCCAACCTGCTGGTGTAATTCTGCCTGATTAAGTATTAGTGGGAAAAAAAGATCTTTCCCAGGTGTCTGCAAATGTACAGTTTCTTGATGTTTCAGCATCCAACTTGGTGATAATTTCATTTTTCCTTCTTGCTTCCTCATACACACGCTCTGTGTTTGGTTGGGACTGGCATCTCCCGCAGTGTTTAATGAGTGTGTTTCATTTCCCTGTACCAGGTCCCAGGCTTCTATTAAAACCCCTTTCATCCTATTTGAGTGTCTGTTTCTTAAGTAATGTCACATCTTCCCATGCCCCTCACAGCAAGAAAATGTTTTTTTTTTTCCATTTCCATTGAGCTTTGTGGCCAGAGCAGTCTTGAGCTCCTTGGTTGTTTGTTTGCAAAATTAACCTTATGCTGTGCTGAACCCTAAGAATGCAGTGTTTTATTTGCCTGCATTTCAGTGCCGTTAGCCTGCAAAGCTCAGTGTTCTCCTTTTCGTTGTAATAAACTGCGTGCTGTTTGCTTCTGATTTGGATGTAGTACTCAAAAGACCCATTTTGTGTGTGGAGAGAGATTGTTAGAGGGGCTCTGGAGGGTTTTAATGAATATCTGCCTGAAATTACATGAATTAGTTTGCAGGAAAGTTGTTTTTTTCCCCGCACTTGTGTTTGTTTCTCTTGTTTAAATTAGCTTCTCTGTCATTGGTTGTGTCTATTTTTTGGGCTTTCTGCTAAGCAGAGGAATGCAGATTGCAGCGCTGTGAAGGAGAAGACACGGCAAGAATTTGCACTGAAGGAGGAAACGCGGCTCCTCGCAGCCATCTCCGAAATATCTCCTTTCTAAATCCTTCCACATAAACAAAATCTTGGAAAGCTCCTCCTATGAGTCATGGTTCCCATTTCTCTAGAAATAATACAGAGATAATGTAAGATGTTTCCACTCTGGTTTGACATCCTTTGAATTTCGAACTTCCTATTAAAAAAGGGAAAAACAAACCCTTGCACCGGGACATGTTCTCATGGGTGTTCAGTTGGGTTATGCTGCAGAGAGGCTTTTTCTGGTGTTCTACCACAATTTTAGAGACTGCTAAAATCAACTACTTGACCCAAAAGTCTTCAACAAGGTATTTTGTGTGAAGTTGTCTTTACACTCATCTCTCCTGTCAGTTGTGCAGTGAGCTTCTTTCTTTCTCTAAAGTTTCTTTGGAAGGAGCAGGAAGGAAGCTCAGTTCTCAGACCAGGCTGTGGTGTGGGAATCTGGGATGGAGAGCCCAGTGGGTTTCCTCTCCACAATGAACCTGTTCCTTTTGGTGTAATGTAGGCTCTTTGGGGCAGTCTCCTTTCATAATGGGATACTGAGAGGGTATATCAAGACCCTCTACGTAGAATTCCTTTTTCAATGCAGTGAAAATCATGTTGCTTTTGGTGTTTTTGGTTGGGAGTGGGAAGGAGGATGTCAAATCAAAATGCCCTGAAATGTCCTAAACTTTGTTTTCTTTTTATTTTTTGTCTCGAAGGTTCAGATGTCTCAAGTTCTGGAAGAAGTGGGAAATCAGAAGCAAAGAGCAGAGATGGTAAGTGGTGTTCTTTTTTTTTTATTCATTTATTATTATTGTTTTCTTGATGTTTTACAGAGCAGTAACGTATGCAAAGTTCAGTGCCTTTGAACTGTGGATCAGTTCCAAATATTTGGATCTGGACAGCAATCGAACTCTTAAAGAGTTTGTATTATTGTTAGCAGTTGTGGCACTGCTTGTCCCTTCATTTACCTGCAACAAGCGTTGGATGAGATCTGCTGATTTGCCACCCTTCTTTTGGCACTTTTTCTTTGGTTACTATTTAAGATCAGAAGGAAGCATTTCACTTCACACTGAATTAACTCCTTTCTTTGGGGACCTCTGATCCAGTCTCAAGTGTGCAAAGGACGAGCAGATGAGATGCAACAATTACCACAGACTTGTTTATTATAACGTGTGTTAATTTTCTGCTGGTTTTGTCTGTTTTATTGGTAGCTCCCTCAAGGACCAAAAGCAGTAGAAGCCACAAGTGGTGTGCCCTTCCATACGAGTAGCAGATTGTCATACATCTCGTAGTTTCTCAGTTATTATTTGGCTGTGGTCCTCCTTGCTGTTTCAACATCACATTTTCTATCATGGGAGCAGTAATTGATTCAGATTCTGAGTTGATCTTTTATTGAGGGCAAACATTTGTATGTTTTTCCATGCTCCATCACTCTCTGTGGTGACATAGCTCAGAACTGATACTTCCAAAGAAGACTGAATTAATCCTATTTACCGTCTGATCTCGTTACATGCTGCCTTGCTGCAGTTCTAAATTCTATGCAGTCAACTTTGTATTGTCCTCACTGGACGTACCAGCGGATAAATGTGCTGTTATGTTTGATGTGCATTTAAAAAAAAAAATTCAAATATTTCCTTTCTGACTTGCAGAGCCTGGATTTTGAGTTACTCGTTTGCCTTCAGAAGCTTGTAGTATTAAACAAGCTGGTAGAGTTGGAGGGATTGGAACTTACAGTGTTAAGGCGTTAATTGGCCTTGTGCATCATCCATCAGCAGAGAAGAAAGAGGCAGGCAGTGTTCAGCACCTATTCCCAAGGGTTGCTTGGTGGAAAACTTCAGGACTTGCGATCTTTCTCGGAAAGCTTACATCAATCTCACATGAATAGGCTGTATTCTGTAGTGCTTTAGGTATGGATTGCAGGTTTTGGGGTGTGGGCTTTGTTCTGCATTTTGATTTTTGTTCAGTAATTGTAAGAAAATTGTCGTGTTTCCTCTTTTTCCCTTTAGAGTTAAAACCTGGCAGTCTTGTTCCTCCTTTTCACTGAGGGTAGACAGTTCTCCTCCATCCCCCACTGAAACCTCCCTGGTAGGGGAAGATGTCACTTCTTATTTCCTGCAGTGTGAGGTGGCAGAGGTCTGTCCCCTTTGGATGGGCCTGTCCTGCTCTCCACCTGCCCACAGGCTCCAGCAATTATCCCTTCAGCTCCGCTCTCCTCCCTGCCACTGAACAAGAAGTTCTTCCCTTGTTTTTTTTTTTTTCCTTTTTTTTTTTTTTCCCCTCCCTCCAGATCAGCCCCTCACCTGGACAGCCTTATTTGCAGGCTCAGTTAAAGCTGGTGCTTCAGCAATCATTTCCCTAATTTAGTTTCTTCTCCTTTCTTTTCACCTCTCCCCCAGGTTTTCACCTGTGATCCATTTCTTGTTAGGTTGATGCTAAGCCTCCTGGCTGGGAGGATGCAGAGAAGTCTGCCTGCTCCAGGTGCTGAATATTGCTTTTCATGAGCCATTCTGCAAACAGGCCTGTGGCTGCTAGGCAAAGAGAAAAAAGCCTGTCAGGTGCTATCGTACAGTCTTTGGGATGCTTTGGGGATAAAGCTCTGTAGAGCTGACATCCCTGCTGCCGCGCTGAAGAGTGCTAATGACTTTCTCACCTCCCCCAAAGCACTGTGAAGGATGCAGTTTGTTCTAGGACCAGTGAACTCTCTGGCTAGATCTCATTGATGAGCGTTCTGGGGTTTCATCATCGATGCCCTGGTAGATCTTTTTTCACATAGCTATATTTAGATGTAAAATATGTCGTAATCTGTTAGGATTGTGGCCTCAATAAGATGGGATCTGGATGGTCTGTGCCCATGGGACAAAAGGTCCCAGTTTCAGGTCATTGTGTCCATAGGGACGATATAAGGCAGCAGTGTGTGCTGTAGGGGACTCTGTGCTAGGACAGGGCTGTGCCTCAGGAGGGATGGCCTTGCTGTGCTCATTGCCATGGAGTACTCCAGCACACGATTTCATTGCTTAGCTGCTGAATACGAGTTGACTACTAGTAGGAAAAATAAAAAAGGAAGAAAAGAAATTTAAATGTCTTCAGCTAATTGCAGTTGACAAGACAAAGGCAGTTTGACTTTCCAGTATTAATTAGCAAACCCGTACTAATTAGCTTGTATAAGCACAATTCATGCTTCTTTCCCTAAATGCAATTAATATTGCAACTGAAGCCGTCTCTGGGCTGTGCCGCTCTATCATTAACATACCTTACCCTAATTAGACACGGCCAGTAGTGGCTGGAGAAATGAGTTTGTGATTACAACCATAAAAAATCCTCTAATATTTTATATCCTTCAGGGAATCTGAACCTCAAATTCATTTTCCGATTTAAGAAAAATTACCCTTATCATTGTGCTGTGTAATTATAAGAATGAAACTTTGATTTTTCTCTCTTTGCGACCCTTCACTTATTTATTTTTCTTTATGCTCAGTTTGAGTGCCTTCCTGTTAGGAGGGAGCAGTACCTGTGTGTTCTTCTGAGAGCTGGTACATATCAGGGTCACAGCTCACATGATGTAGCTGTCTCTCAGGTTTGAGGATTTTCTCCTTTTCTATTTGGCTGAAATAATGTTTATTTTTTATTTATTGCCGTTGTGAATCTGTTTTGGTTCCTAAGCTCAGTTCTTTATTTTGTGTAAATATGTGCACTTGCTGACAATGTTGGCAGCACTGGAAGTTTTCTCTCCCAAGGGTAGTGCTCAGATAACTTTCTCTGCAGGATGCACTGGGAGGTTCCATGTGGCATCTGCACCTATGGCTGCCTGCCTGTGGTCACAGGATCTTGGTTCTTATGGTATGCTGGTTTAGTGCTCTGTGGGCGCAGAGCTAGGGGCTAGCTTCACTGGTACTCAAGTATTATTTATGAAAAATGCTTTCCTCTTTCATATTGGTTTTCTTTCTTGCCCTGGAGGAGGGAAGCAGAAGATAGTTGCTTTTTCTAATTTTCATTTGCCTTTTTCATCTCTCCGTATGGCCAGGAAAAAACTGGCTCAAGCTTACCATCTGAGCTACCACTATGATCCCTGGTCTCACACTTTCTTTCAGTCTGGTTCTGTAGCATAGGGCATTAATGTCAAGATTTTTTTCCCGTGATTAATCCCTGAGGGAAGCGAGCCTGGTATTATAGAAGTATCACATGTATTTTCATTGCCCAGAGGTGCTCTGGCTATCGTTGGCTTTCATCTTCAGAAAGCAGCTTGACTCAGGTGGACTCTGAAATCTATAGACTGCTCATTGGACCAAATGATATTTAATCCTCCAGCAGATTAAAAAGGATGGCTATAAGAATGAGAATTGCTTTGCGGGGTGGGAGGGAAAGTCATCACAAAATGAATGGCATAAATTGAGTGTCCTTACAGAAGAAATAAAGACCTCTCAAAATGAAAACAGCGAGTTCCCCTTGCCTTAAGTGAATGTGTTTGCTAACCCTCTGCAAGGAACAGGAGACCTTTATTTAAGGGCAGCAGGTCAGGAATAGTTAAGGAGCCAAATCGTGTGTTCAGTCTGAAATCGTAGTGTTGGGATTAACTTAAATGTCAGTGACTAGCTACATTGATGCTTATCAGAGAAATAATGAAGACTGTAAGGAGGACAGATGGAATAAATCTGCTCAGAGGACACGGTGTGATGTGGCTGGGAACGGGCTGCTAACTGGAGAGCAGCATGGAGAGACTGCAGAAAGAGTCTGGGAACATCACAACTGGCATCGATGCATAAGGCACAAGAAATGCACACAGGTCATAGGCCATTTCAGTTGCTATTGAAAGACTTCACTTCCTAGTGGTTCCATCAGACCTCCAGAGCATCAAGAACTGATTTTTTATACTTAAGAGAAATACTAAACGAAGTTCAATTTTTTAATTTTTTTTTTTTTTTAATTTACAAACTTTTCAGATGGTAACAGGAAAGAAGTGAACTTCAGTATAGGAGATCTGCCCTGGGTAATTAGGTAATGTAGCTAATATAATTCTTGTTTAACAGCTATTAAACAGAAAGCAAGAAATGGAACAGGCAAGACACAAGAATGACAAAACTGGTACTCATTGACGGAGATGTTAATTCTCCGTATTATCTACAGTAGGTGGAATTAAATGTGGAATTAGAGTACCCAGCCACATTGATCACGAACAGAAATGAGGCTTTGCCAGGATGTATACAGAACAGCAGGATGGGAGGGAAGGCAGGTGACCGATCGGTGCAGAAATTCTCCATCTATCAAAAATCTCTTTCATGGTTTCCAAATTGATTTAACAAACTGACAGCAAACCTCCCCAGCACTTGACAGCTGTTATACTAGCACCTTACACGAGAGCAGCAGCCTGGGCCGGATGGACAGTGTGTCATTCAGCTGAGCAGCAGCATGAACACGGCAGCAGTTTTTTAGTGAGGCATTTTTAGGGAAATACCCAGTTTTCAAATCAGATTGGAAAAACGCCAATCTGGTTATAAAGAAGCAGCAAAACACTGATTCAGAATGGAACGATGTAGTAAGAGAAGACTGGAAAAGAACTCTCTAGGTGACAAAATCTGATTCTTTGGCAACTGAGGCAATTGCAGCATACAGTTTAGTTCATAAATTTATCAAGCTTGTCTTGAAAATACTTAGCTTATTTGTCCCATTACTATCACTGAAAGCCTACCCTGACAGCTAGAAATTTTCTCAGTTCTAGCTGAAAATATATGTGCAGTTAATATCCTTTTTTGTATGTGTTAATATTCTTCTTAAACTA